CACACACACACACTCAGAGGGGCCCGGTGGTGCAGGATGTTACGTGTTGGGCTTCTAACCAAAAAGTCAGCAGTTGAAGCCCACCCACTGCTCCTCCTCGGGAGAAAGACGAAGCTCTGTTTCTGTAAAGAGTAACTGTCTCAGAGACCCACCCGGAGGGGCCCTTCCTCCCTACCCTGCAGGGCAGCGGTTGAGGCAGATGGCACACAGCTCGATGGCAGTGAGTTTGAATGACAAGGTCCTGGTCACAGAGCCAGGGGCAGACACCCATGTGTCCTTGCGTGTCTGTGGGTTGGCTCGGCCAGCACTCTGCTCTGTGACCTGGGAGAGTGTTCCTTTAGAGCCAACAGAGAAAGGCGTGGGCGGAACTTCCTATAGGTCACAGGTCGAAAGCCCGCCCTCACACGTACCTCGCGGAAGACAACACAGCTGTCGTATGTGCATTGAAGAGGGCTGAGGAACTCAGCTCGAGTGGCCTAAAGCGGGGCGGCGGCAGCAGCTGGGGGCCATTGGTTGAAAAGCCCCGCTTCCATTGAGGTCCCGGGCCAGACCTGCGCCGGGCACCTCATGGGCAGTGACAGAGTGCAGTGCACCCTGGTGCCGTCCAGCAAACACCACCCCTGGCCACCCCGACAGTCCCGACTCACAGGACCCTGTGGGACACGGTGTGACCCTCCCTGGGATTCACGAGGCTGTCAGTCTCCATGGCAACAGAACCCCGTCTTTCTCCCAAGAGGCGGCCAGTGGGCTTGAACCATCGACCTCTTGGTTTGCAGCTGGGCGCTTTGGCCACTGCCCTGCCAGGGCCCTGCCCGCCCTGCACAGTGGCCGAGGGGAGCCTGGTGTGTCAGGGAGCAGCCTACGGCCTTCACGGAGGCCCACCCCAGGTCCACTTTCTCCGCGGGCCCAGCAGCAGGGCCGGGACCCAGAGTGGCCTGCTCTGTTCCAGGTACAACGTCTGCGTCATGGCCCACGGGCAGACGGGCAGTGGGAAGAGCCACACCATGCTGGGGCCTTCCCCTGCTGTCGGCGCGGCCCCACCTGCCGGAGCTCGCCGGGACCTGGGGGTGATCCCGCAGGCTGCTGAGGAGCTCTTCAGGTACCTGCCTGCCGGCGCCTCCTCGCCAGCCAGCTTTCCTCCCCGGGCAGCCTGCTCTGGGGCCGGGGCCTGCGTGCCGGCTGAGCAAGGGGCCCTCCAGTCGGGCGGCAGCTCCAGCCGAGGGGGGTCCCGGGGCCCAGTGCTCTCAGGTGGGGCAGGTTGGGCACTGGGTCTCCTGTCCTCAGCCAGGCCCTACGGCACGTGGAGCTCCTGGGCTGCCAGGTGCCGTCCACTAGGTTCTGGGGCACAAGTGGCCTGGTGTGCACTGGAATGGAACACGGCTGGGTCTCCACCCTCCTCACCATGGACACAGCCACTGCGTCAGTCCGTCTGGTTGCCGGCCTTCCTCCTGTGCACTGACTCAACCAGCCTGGTGTTCTTTCCCTGGGACCGATGCTTTTTCAACATTCTCTCACAGGACCCCCAGCTTTGTCTGTCACCAGGGCGGTGTTTGCTAAGCACCGCCCCTCCCTCTTGGTTTCCCACACTTGCCTTCCAATCACCGATCGTGATCGATGCGTGTTTGATCAGGCTCTTCCATCTCTGCGTCACCAGCCTCCGTGGTTGGTGACCAACCTGAAGAATAGTTGTTGGAGTGGGTTTCCTTGGACGGGGACAGAGACTGTCCGTCACAGATGGCACCGGACCTCAAGAGGGACCCAGAAGCGTCCTTTTGGACGATGAACGCGGCACCATCCCTCCTGAGTGTGGTTCAAGATGGCCGGTGCAGGTCCAAGATAACGATCTTTATCAGGTCCATTTCATTGTTGCCGGCTTCCAGTCTCCCTAGATCCATGCTTCCTCCGTCCGGGTTCCGATTATTCATAGATGTGTGCAGCCGTGTCTTCTCACTTGGAGTCGTGCCCCATCAGCACATGAAGGTCCGGAAGGCCTTGCTCCCGCAGCCTTGACTCCGCCCACGTCCTTAGGGTCGGCTCCACCCTGAGCAGCAGCTCGTCCTCAGTCATAAGTTGAGCGCCTTCCCACCTGCGGGGCGCCGCCTCCGGCAGCGTCTCTGACATGGTCTGCTTCTGTTCACGAGGCGTCCAGTATCTGACAATGTTCCAGTTCTGTCCACTGGCCTTTCAGTGGCTAATTCCTCTGAAGTGGACAGCCGTAGGCTGCTCTTCGTCCGGAAGCTCCGCTGAAACCTGTTCACGTGAAATACCAGGGACGCAGCTCCCAGCATCTCCGCACCTCTTTCCACGGACGCAGCCCGTTCCACTCCTGCTGCTGCTCCATGCTCTAGCGCTGTGTGCACAGCCGCTGTGTGTTTCTGGAGAAAGATGATTTGCCACAAAGGAGCCATCGGTCTTGTCCTTTCCACCACCAAGACTAAATCACATCAAATCAAAACCGCCAACGACTCAAGTTAACCAAGGAAATTAAATTAAAACCAGTTAAGTCAAACACACTCCAGTGAAATTAGACCGTAAAATAAAATCCTAATGAAGTTGAACGAAAGTGACATTATAGTAAATAAAATAAATGAATCAAATGAGAGTAAATTAAATTAGGCAAAATGAAATAAGGCAGACACAGTGACTGAATTAGAGTAGGGGTCAATAAAATTAAGCTAACGAAAATATAATCCCATGAGATTAAATGTAGCAAAATGCAGTCCTGCCGCACTGCTTTCTCTCGGTGGCCCCCTGAGGAGATGTGACCCTCCACCCTCCCGTACTGTGCTAACAGAAATGCCAGTAGGGAGTGGGTGCTGGGGGTCTCTGACGACCAGAACACCATTTCCTCAGTTCAGCAGACCAGACAATGCCCCACACACAGCTCACGAACGTTCTCAGGCCAATTGCTCCCAGAGGGAGAGCTAGGTTTCTGAGAGGGAGGGCCCGCCACCAGCGAGGGCTCAGCCCATCACTCCCGGTGGCGTCTTGCAGTCCAGGGGGCCCACCACAGGACTGCCCGCCACCCATCTCTGCAGCCTCCGTCATCCCATCTGTCAAGTGGGGAGGCAGCCCCCGCCCCGCGCAGCTCAGCCAGGCTAAGAGAGCTGAAGGCACTTGGAATAGAGAAAGTATCCTGCAGAAAACATAAATATGTAAAGCCAAGGAGCTCTATGGCACAGTGATAAGCACAAAGTTATCTGAGCTGATAACCACAAAGTCAACAGTTCAAGTCCACCGGCTGCTCCTGCAGGGCCAGATAGAGCCGCTTGTCCCCGTAAGGATCTGAAGTCTGAGACCCCCAGAGGTTCACTATGTCCTGACCTATAGGATCACCATGAGTCAGAACTGAGACGTGAGCTAAGGTAAATGGATTCATTTGAAACTAATTCAAGCAAACAGAGTAAAATAAACTCAGCAAGATTCATTTAAAACGCCAAAGATAAAGGACATTAAACAAATGAAAACTGTAACAAGTTATAGAGAATATTGAGTTGCATTAGAATGAGATTACCCTAAATGAAGCCCAATTAAATTCTCTTGCATGGAGCTGTACAGAATCCTATCATTTGAATGAGATTACGTTAAGTTAGTGGAGTGACATAAAATGAAATTTAGTGAAGCAAAATTGAAATGAAGACAGCGGGTGGCCCAGAGGGGTAAACTGGGGACTTGGGGCTCCAGGCTTGGGGCGCTCCCCAGGAAGAGACAAGGCCGATTCTCCCAGAGTCCCTGAGTGGAAAACCCCTGGGGCAGCCTGTTGCCTGTGGGCCCTGGGCTGAGCAGACCCCCCGGGGACCCCCAGCCACTAACAGTTCCAGACAGACCGTCCCTGGCTCCCCCACCCCCCCATGCCGGCTGGCCGGCCACAGCCTCCAGGGCCCTTTAGCAATTCTTTCTGATTCTGGAAGCGAGCCCTCCAGATTTCAATGGAATAAAACACGAATGAAATAGATGCATCAAATGAAATAAAATGCCATTAAAATAGAGTCAAGTGAAACTAAGTCAAAATACTTGGAATAAGCACATCAATTAAGTTAGGTGAAACAAAGAAAACAATTCTCATATGAAGTTAAACTAAATAAAGCTAAATGAAACCACAGTGGATCAAATAGATGAAACAGAATCAAATCCGTTAAAGAAAATGAAGCAGGGGACTGCCGAGCTGGAGAGCGCTGCATGTCTTTGCCACCAGTAGACAGGCAGGGGCTCACAGGAACAGCACTGAGTGCACAGAAGGGGGCGCCCAGAACCCACCGTGGCGATGCCACGCGACTCTTCTGATGGACCTGGATTATGGAGCTGGGCAACCTGTGGGTAAAGCGCTAATAAAACGGTTTTTAAAAAGGAAGTGAAGCAAAATAAACAGTGAAATAAAGCAAACTTAGAATGATGATAACGAAAGCAAACGGGGCCCAGGAGGCGTGGAGGTTACAGCTGGGCTGCTGACCGCAGGGTCAGCAGTTCTAAACCACCAGCCGCTCCTCAGGAGACAGGCTTTCTTCCCTCCCCCCGCCCCCCTCGTGAAGCGTTCTCTGTGTGTGAGAACCACAGGGGCGGTGCTACCCTGTCCCCAGGGGTGCTGCGAGTCGGGACCCACCGATGGCCGTGCCTGGAGTTTGGTAAAGAGTCCCGGGCCTGCCCTTTCCTGAAATTTGAGACAGACCAAGCCCGTTCCGGGACATGCTAACTCGCGGTCCACGCTGTCTGACAGCTTGGCTGCTGTGGGCTAGGAGCCTCAGGGCCTGGGGTGGGGTCAGCCCAGCGGAACCACTGCCTAGGAGCTGGTCCCGACCCCCAGAGACCCCACGCTCTCTCTCAGAACGGCTGGCGGCTTGGGACTGCCAAACTTTCCCCACAGCGTTCGGGTGCTTCCCTGCTGTGCCACCTGCCTCCTCATCCTGAGCGAGCCACTACTGGAGGAGCAGTGGGTTTCCCGAACAAGTCAGAGAGAGAAAGCCTTTGAGGCCCGAGAGACCCCGGCAGACAGCCTGGGCTGAGTTCCAGCCCTGCCCCCCAGGGGCAGCCCCCTCCCCACCATGCTGCTTTGGCGCCTTTGCAAAGAGGTCTTGGTGTGTCTCTGCTCCACGCTCCCTGTGTCTCGCAGGCTCCTTTCAGAAAATCCCCCGCGGAAGCCTGCGGCCGAGGTCTCCATCGTGGAAGTTTACAACAACGAGGTTTTCGACCTTCTGACCAGAGACAAGGCTCCTGCTTCCAGGACCCAGCGCGAGGGGAAGGCCCTCGTGGGGGCAACCCGCCAGTGAGTACCTGCTGCACGGCCTGCTTTTCTTAGACCGCACGTCTGCTCGCCCCACGGCTGGAAAGCCGGGACTCGGATGCACACTGGCCTTCAGTGGTCGCTGGAGCCCCGCTCAGTCACCAACAGGTGGACAACCCAGGTGTCCACAAACTGAGGCTGGGCACACCCACTATGGCCCATCCACAGGACAGCTGCTGCACCTGGGTGAACCTTGGGATGGTCAGCTGCAAGGGCTCAGCCTGCGTGACCCATGTGCATGAGGCCCGGGAGACAGGCCGAGGCGTGGAGACTGGTCTTTCCCACTGACCCGCCGACAGAGCAGACAGGAGGGAAAAGGAGATTCTGCCCAGGGCCAGGAGTGAGTGGAATGTGGTGCTGGCCATAAACGGGGGCATAAACCCAGGAGCAGGCTGGAGTTGGGGCGCCTTCTGACTCAGCAGAGCCCGGTGGGACACAGTGTCCCTGGGGTTCCCCAGGGCCCATCTGTGTGGGGGCAGACCGGCAGGTCTTTCTCCTTCACAGTGTGGGGGATTTTAAACCACTGACCTTCCGGGGAGACGCTGAGCCTTAACCATTTATGCCATCAGAGTCCCCACAGAGTTGATCCTCCCAGAATCAGGACTCCCTGTGACTGTGGTGGGAATGTCACTGGCCTTGGAAGGAGGCTCGATGGTCCTGTAGGAGAG